TAAATTATTAATCTCGAGGTTTAAAATCAACTAATGCTTTGTTATTAAATGTTTTGATTTATAAATTAATTCAGCTCGGGGCTGTGTGAATATTTAATTGATTTAATAACACACTTAAAATTCGTTATTGCGTTGTCACTGTCGTAAATCGTTAGATGAAATTCGGCTATATCCCGTTTCTCCTACCCGTTTTTTGATCCTCTCTTTCTCACTTAACACGATTAGCACAGTTTGCGTGTTTTGTTCTCGGCCTTCTTTTAATACGACTAAAAATGTTAGCCAGATTATTTTCGGGAAGCCCGAAAACCACAAGAGTCTCAATTTTCATATCCGAACATACAGACTATAGCTAATGTAATTTGTAAAATTATATTTTCTAAATTTGGAAACTAAACAATAAAACCGTAATTAAGAATAAATGATCATTGGGAATAGTGAGATGCGGTCTGGTATGATGTAGGTTTCAGAAAAACATTTTCTTTATCGTGCCAACGTTTCGATCTTTTATTGAGATCATCTTCAGGGCCTGGGATTTACAAACAATGTTTACATTTAACAAATACATACACGCCTCCTCTTATGCGCGTTCGTTGCCCTCCTGCCAAACCCAGACAACATCCACCGTTTTTCTGAAGCTTTAATAAATAAAAAATCGATACTAAATTCGGCGAAATTTTTGCTATCTTCTTATCAATTCTACTCTATATTGATCAAATATAAAATAAAAGGCTTAGATTTAATATTCACTTCACAGGTTAATATTTTTCATCAATAAGTAAGATGGTATGACAGACTCGGATTTAGAACGAAAAAAAAATGGTTTCCTACAAGAAAGTGTAGGAATCACAAATCAGATCAAGCATGCTTTGATAATTCTTAAATCATAGATGCTAACTAATCCAATGGTGATAAGATAAAGACGATAAAACGCTTTCTCACGCAACTTGAAATATTATTTTAGTTCGTTAGTTAGTTTCAGAATAATTTTTTGCAGGTTTTTGGTCTGAACTGGCTATATAAAATAAAAAATAATACCAAGTAATTAAGGTTTTTAGTTGAGATAAAAAAGTCAGTGTCACGAGCGGGATTCGAACCCACGATCTTCGGCAGATACGCCGCTGCTCTACCACCTGAGCTATCGTGTCCTCGATCCTCTCGGACACTAACTTCCCATCTCAACCCCACCTTTTGAATTTTCCCTCCTTTTTGCCATTTTTATCTCAATAAAAGCCTTAATTAATTGAAAAATATTAATTGGTTGAACGGAAAACTAGTGAATTTAATAAGTTTAAATGAAGTATACCTTCACTAAAGCTCTCCGTGGCCATTTCATTTGTCGCCGAGAATCAAATAGATTAGACGACATTTGAATAATGGCGAAAAGGAGAGAAAATTCAAAAAGGTGGGGTTGAGACGGGAAGTTAATGTCCGAGTGGATCGAGATCACGATGGCTCAAGTCGTAGAGCAGCGGCGTATCTAGCCGAAGATCGTGGGTTCGAATCCCGCTCGTGACACTGACGTTTTTATCTCAACTAAAAACTTAATTAATTGGAAGATATTAATTGGTCAAGCGGACCAAGAAAACTAGTGAATTTAATAATACCAAGGATCATTAATAGAAAACCAAAAAAAGGAAACATTCCTTTATTTTTGAAAATTAATTAATTAAAGTATAATAGATTTTTTAATTAAATAATATTCATAATTCATAAATAAAGAAGCTTATACATAAAGAGAAAAAAAAAGAATTATTTTGTTACGTTTTGAAACAAATACATAAATGTAACGAAAGTTAGTTTAAAACACGATTTTAATGAATAAAGTAAAATAATTAATCGTTTAGTCTGATGATTCGGGGGCCGTATCGAAAATTATTATTAGATGGGAGATTTAGGTCGGGTTATTTTGAGATTGTAAGTAAGTAAACATTGGAACGGAGACAAAACCAATGATTTTTTTTACCCCTAGGCATTGCGAACAGCATAAATTGTAACAAATTACAAATCAGTTACAAGTTGGGTTTAAAAAATGTTTTTCCTTCAGGGATTTAAATCTTGGTTGTCTGTAAAATTACTTTTTTTATTCTATTCGATGGTAAACATGAAGATAACGTCAAAAAGTAACAGTTTTTTTTAAATTGGACACATTGATAAACGTAAAAATTTATCCATTTTTTAAAATTCTTAGTGTCCAAAGCTCCTAGAGCCTAAGGTTCGTGAAAAAATAACAGTTTGATTTGTTTGGAATATAATTGCACAGGCCTTAGAAATGTTAATAATCCGGAAACAAAAAGACAAAATATTTTCTTTATATAGGCCAGATCATCTAACATTGGAAAAAGTCAACCTCAACAGAACGTGTCATTGAGAAATCATGCTATGAATTAAAAAAAAAAAAATAATAATAATAACCCAAATTCTACTTGCAAACTGCCCTATCATCACTACTAACTTGTATTCAACCAGAACAGGAATAAAACATGAACGTGTGTGTGTGTGTGTGTGTGTGTGTGTGTGTGTGTGTGTGAGAGAGAGAGAGAGAGAGAGAGTGAGAGAGAGTGTGTGTGTGTGTGTGCGTGTGCGTGTGCGTGCGCCTTCTCATTTTTTCTGTATTGAATTGAACTTACAAATACTTCTCACATTTCCATTGTGAACGATGAGGTACACTTTAATTTAAGGCATACAAATTAGAAAATAAATTATTTATTTTGCACACAACGCGAAGAAATTTCGTCCAATAATTTGGTTTTCGCAAGACGACTAAAGCACAGAAAGCCCCGGATTTTCCTCACCTAAAACTAGCTCTTGTGTAAATTTGGAAGAACAACATTAGTTGCAAACTCCCCTCAAGACATAGTGTAGTAATTATGTTCGTTTTGAAAGATTGTCAAGAGCACGACTGAGCGCTGGCCCTCCGAGGATCTGAGGCGCAAGGAACGGATCGCGCTAATCCGTTTGAGGATAGGCCAAACTTGATTGACACACGGACACCTGCTTTCGGGAGAAACCCTGCCGCGCCTTGGCCCATTACAGGGAGCGAGTAGGCATGGCGCCCGACAAAAGACAGTCCTTGGGCACGACAGTCTTCGGTGCCATGTTAAGATTTTTTAAGGGGGTGTTTCCTCATTTGTAAATATTGCAAATACACGTACTTGTGTAGCTCTAGTGCGTATGTTCCTATTTCTTTTTTGTGTATATAGGTGTTTGTTTATGAGCAGTGTGTTAGTGTTAATGGACAATTAATGCGAGGGCCGATGGCGGAATAACAAATAGCTCCCCAGAGTGCGTTGAATTTACAGGATGATATGAATCCATCCCTAACCTCAAAAAAAAAGAAAAGAATAAATATATACTTGCACTATTTCGGTTTCAAATCCAAATTAAAACCGTTTAATAAATTCATTCAAAATTCCCTTAAGTTTTTATTTTTTATTATCATTAATCGTACCATTCCTTCAACTACGATTTTTTCTTTCCTTCATCCATTGCTTCATCTTTAAAAAAGTAATTAAAAAAGAATTACACCACTGAAAACGATATTAAATGGAGTAAGTTTTCTGAAATTTGCTGGTTTCTACGTTTGGAAATAGTAGTTTGGAATCACCATAGTAAGATTTTTAAATTTGAAAAAAAAAAATTATTTTTCAAAGTTCTGGCCACCAAAACGCTTATTACACAAAAGTTCACAAGTTTAGTTATTGATCACATCTTATTGCAAATCTAACATAGTCTTCAATGGTATCAACGGATTTGTATGAAACCTTTTAGTTATGGTGTAATCATTGTTTATTTGAAGCAAGGTCGTGAAATCTTAAAAAATCAGAAAAACTGAAATAACTCTGAAACTGTTGATTATATATATATATATATATATATATATATATATATATATACATACATATATACACACATACATATATATATATATATAGTGTCCGAGTGGATCGAAGTCACGATAGCTCAAGTGGTAGAGAAGCGGCGTATCTGGCCGAAGGTCGTGGGTTCGAATCCCGCTCGTGACACTGACTTTTTTATCTCTACTAAAAACCTGAATTAATTGAATTATATAAATATTTTGTATTAATTAAAATGAATTCTATTTCATAATATATAAATAGAATTAATAGATTTCATTTAGGGAATTCATTTTCAACGTTGGCTATATTAACTACTTGAATTTTAATTTATTTGAGCTAATACATTGGTACATGACGTAAATTTATATTTAAAGATAAATTAATTCAACAGACTTGAAGAAATGTAAAACAAAATTAAATTCTTGTTCACTTAAGAAAATGTCCAGTCCACATATTCAGTGTACTTTTATATTAATGGAAATAATTATAATTTTGTATCGAAGAAAAATTAATAATTTATGCGATAGTTACTTAAAACCCAGACAACAGAGGTGACCGCTGATAATTAAATTTATTAATTAATTGCCGGTTAAATCGATGTGATGTAAACTTTATAATAGCAGTAATCTAAATGATTACAAAGGTTAAAAAGGAAAATTGAGAAAATTTCACTAACTACAAAGAAACAAATAGGCTAACTGAAAATATATTTGAAGTTGTATGAATTACTTTAGCGTTCTGAAATATAATGCACACCTCGCTAGATAAATTTAGACTAAGGAAATGATGTTTTGGCACAAAGAGTCCTGTTCCAATTTATAAATTATGTTAAAGAGTCTGCTTCATTTGGAAGGTTGTTTTTGTAAATAAATTTTTAATATAGAAGAACTGTTAGTAATTAAATCAATGTTAGTAGTTTTTGAAGGAAAAATTAAGTGAAAGACTTTCAAGAAGACATGTAAGGTTTTGACAGATCGTATAAGAGATTTGAAGTATAAATAAAACGGGGCAGAGCTCCAAACACGGGGGCTGAAAAGGGTCGGCCCGGGGGCCAAAACTTCATTTTTAACGAATTGACAAAAGGGGGATGACGGCGAGGTAGTCCGATCCGTCTTCCCTCCGTGGCGGGTTAGCAGGACTTACCCCATGGTTGGCGTTCGGCTTAGCGGTGGGGTCCCGACCAAAGATCGCCTCTCCGGGAGTGGGTCAGTGCTCTGAAAATACTGGCATCCGCAGCGGACACTGCTCGAACTCGCAGATCTGGACCTCTGCATGGGGAGGCAGATGTGTCCCGCTTCACACCCCCACTTCTCCGGCAACGCACCTTTCCGATTCCGGACCCTGTGCCGTTCTACGTCCGAATGGAGTCCTCTCTCCTCTATGGCACTCTTTTTAGCACTTCCTTCAATGAACGCTACAACAACGCTGCGGACGGATGTTTTTTAATTAATTCGAAAATACCTGCCTTAATCTGTTGGTGGGAGAGAGAAAAACAAAAATTCTGTCTAGTTGAACAAAGGTGGAACGCGTTATAATACCATATGTGTAAACTTTTCACGAGAAAAATCAGGGTAAACCGGCAGGTTCATCGATCTCAAACTGTTCGTTTCAACTAACGAAATTATCTAAACAAATTATCAAAAATCTCGCACCTCTCGTATTTTCCAAGCCGCGTTTTGCACGACCTTTCCACTCTCATTCACGAAAATAAGTGTTTATTGACACAAAACAAGCTTTCAAACAGTACAGCTTAAAACCACTCTTCACTGGTGCTCAGAGCGATAGAGTCTAGGGAGATGGATTGACAAGAATTTTCTATCCTCTGCTGCAGCACTCAACTGAGGTTTCTGGGCAATGCTTGGCGAAGGCTCCGTTTTTAAAAAGGATTGAACACCACTCCATCATTCATCATTCCTACTGTTTTTTAAACGGCCCCGCAGAAAATAGTCAAGTGGAATTAAATCGGATGACCGAGGAGGTCAACAAATCGAGCTATGAGTAGGGATGGCAATCTTTAATCTATATATCGATACATCGGTTTTCCGATATATCGAAAACTATTTATCGGCTTCACAGATATATCGTGAAAAATACATCGATAGTTTTAATTTTAGATACATTACGTCTATTTTATAAACCCATATGAGCAAGTCAACTGGAAAAAAGAACGATATTAGTAACGGGAAAAAATATACTCATGGACATGAATAATTATATAATTCTTATAAGATATAAAATAAAATAGATTTAGGCTATAAAAATTAAGATTTTGAAGCTTTTCGAGCATCTTTTACAAGTTGCCACTTGTTTTCTTTCTTCCGGTGCAACAAATTCCAAACAACACTTTTTTGACATTTTCCCGGGGAAGGTGCCATCATATAAACGTATTTGCAAATTGTGCGCAGAAACGTAGATACAGATGCCTATGCTGAAAAGTCAGAATGGTAAGGTTTACCCATAGACCATAGGCACAATTAAAATTATATTCATACGTCGATGTTTCATACCACTCTCTAATCCAATTTGACGCACCGACGAGAATTTTTTTAAATTATACATCCAATAATAAGAACGTATAGTCAAGTTTTTGCAAATTGATTATTCGGAAATCGTGAGATGCGGTCTGGTGTGACGTAGGTTTCAGAAAAATATTTTCTTTATCATGCCAACGTTTCGAACTTTATTGAGATCATGTTCAGGGCCTGGGATTTACAAACATTGTTTAAATTTAACAAATAGGATGTGGATTTCCCTGAAGTTATTGGAATCATCACTTCCGGGATAGAAGGACTTCATAGCTAGGAATGGCAACATCATATATATCGATATATTTCTACATATATCGAGTACATTTTTTATCGATAGATTTGACTGCAATACTTGAAATGTATCGATATATTCATTTTTTATTTACGAAAAAAATTAATTTACAAATATGTGTGGTGATTAGTGACCGTTAGTCGATGATTATTTAGAAATCGTGAGATGATCTTCAGAGTTTGTAAATCCCAGGCCCTGAAGATGTTCTCAATAAAGTTCGAAACGTTTGCACGATAAAGACAATAAAATCATCAATATCGCCAACAATATTTTTTCATGAATTTTTTAACAAATTTTATGTAAATGCTCCTGGTCCGCTTGTTTTCGCTAATTGGTGCAAAGGGTATTTTTGAACTAGGTAATTACTTTTCTCTGAGCCAGGCATCCTCGTCGAACGGCGGTTTGAAAATGTACGTCCATGGATAGAAACCTTTCAGTTTGCTCCTTCGCACTTCTTCCCAGAGATAAGTCGGCAGGGGAACCGGAGGCGCCTCTTCCTCTCCCTTTCCTTCGTCTGGCACTGGAACGTGACACAGATCAATAACTGTTAGAACTGTAAATAAAATCTGTAATATTTTGTCATTATTTCTAATCAACTTACGGTTAAAAGGAATAAAAGTTTCAGTTAAGTTTTCCAAGGACGAAAGAAGAGGTCAATTGCGACATTTCAAATTTTTTAATTTTAAAACATTTATCTAAATAATAAAGTAATAAAATAATGCAATCATTCAAAAATAAACATAAGCGTTTTTGGAAATAATGCATTGATAGGAAATTGTTATAATTATTTTTCAACAAAATCAACACCAGTTCATCAACAAGTTTTTAAAAATAAAATCACCTAACCAAGCCACCTAAACTTAGTGACAAAAATATATATGAAAACAGAGAAATTTGAATCAGTACCTAAGATCAGAATCTGAGTGTCACAAAATATTAAAACCTTTAATTCACTAGTTTTCGTGGTCCGCTTGACCAAGTAATATCTTTCAATTAATTAATTTAGCTCAATTACTTAAGGTTTTTAGTTGAGATAAAACATGACATTTGAAAAATGGCAAAAAGGAGGGAAAATTCAAAAGGTGGAGTTGAGATGGCAAGTTAGTGTCCGAGTGGATCGAAGACACGATAGCTCAAGTGGTAGAGTAGCGGCGTATCTAGCCGAAGGTCGTTGGTTCGACCCGCTCGTGACATTTACTTTTTTATCTCAACTAAAAACCTTAATTAATTGAAAAACCTTTAATGTTTATTTTAGTTGCAGATATCTTTAGGGGAATTGGGAATTTTTTATTGTACATAGCCTTAAAAATATGTTTTGTGTTTCTGTGCCTTGTATGAGTGAATGCATATATTGGCGTGAATGGGGAGGGGCTGATGGTGAAGTAGGTTCTCCACCGCCCCTCAGGTTGTATGTATGATTTGGGCCGATGGCGGAAATTTTATAAAAATACCCCATCAACCCCAATCTAGATTAGTTTAGTATAGGGAATAGGTACATGGAGGAATATCGAGTACCCCATCTACATAACAGTATGAGTGCGATCAATGCATATAGGTATGAATGTATTTATTGGTGTCACTGTGTATCGAGTGTGTAGCGGTATTATGTTAAAAATAATGGATATATGTAAATTTCATACCCTCTCTCACTCTCTCTCTCTCTCTCTCTCTCTCTCTCTCTCTCTCTCTCTCTCTCACTCTAGCTCTCCCCATGTCTCTTTATATATATCTACCCATCTATCTTATCTCCTTCCCTCCATTTCATTATCTCATTCTTTATGTACACGCGATAATTTTCTTCCAGGCCTGTCAGTATTTTTTTTATTTGAAATGCATACGTACATAGCTAGATTGATGGAGGAAGGGTGGTAGAGAGAGAAAGAAAGAGTGATTTGGTGATACGTACATACATACAAATTATCCCTCAATCTATCTTCCTATCTCATTCTTTATGTTTCAGCTGTAATTTTTGTCTGTCACAGAATGGTTTTGATTTGCAAAGCATGTCGCCATGCTATAATCTCTCTCTCTCTCTCTCTCTCTCTCTCTCTCTCTCTCTCTCTCTCTCTCTCTCTCTCTCTCGCTGATCTCATTTGGGGTTGGAAATTGTGGAAGGGGCCCATGATATCCAGAACTTTCATTTATCACTATATGTGAATCTATGAAACAGATGTGTTTCACGATTCCTTGCACTAGTTAAAGTGCAAAATTAAAACGTATACATCCACGATTCCTTAAGCCATGTATTTTTGTTGATATTGTTTAATTACTCATTTGTTTCTTTTTGTTATGTGCTTTTTTTACTACTCTTCTCGTAGATTCATTCTGTTGGAGTTATAAATAAATAAATTAAATTCACTAGTTTTAGTGGTCCGCTTGACCAATTAATATCTTTCAATTAATTAAGGTTTTTAGTTGAGATAAAACAAATTAAATGTCATGAGCGGTATTCGAACCCACGATCTTCGGCTAGATACGCCGCTGCTCTACCACTTGAGCTATCGTAACTTCGATCCACTCGGGCACTAACTTCCCGTCTCAACCCCACCTTTTGAATTTTCCCTCCTTTTTGCCATTTTTCAAATATTATTTGCCATAGATTACTCGGTGACAATGTTTGTGTTGTTTTTATCTCAACTAAAAACCTTAATTACTTGAAAGATATTAATTGGTCAAGCGGACCACGAAAACTAGTGAATTTAATAAGTTAAAATGATGTATACGTTCACTAAAGCTCTCCGTGGCTATTTCATTTGTCGCCGAGAATCAAATAGATTACACGACATTTGAAATATGGCGAAAAGGAGGGAAAATTCAAAAGGTGGGGTTGAGACGGGAATTTAGGGTCCGAGTGGATCGAGGTCACGATAGCTCAAGACCTCAAGTGGTAGAGCACCGGCGTATCTAGCCGAAGATTGTGCGTTCGAATCCCGCTCGTGACACTGACTGTTTTATCTCAACTAAAAACCTTAATTTGATAAATAAATTTAATTATCTATCTATTTATCTATCTATCTATCTATCTATCTATCTATCTATCTATCTATCTATCTATCTATCTATCTATCTATCTATCTATCTATCTATCTATCTATCTATCTAATCTATCTATCTATCTTTTATCTATCTCTCTATCTATCTATTCATCTCTATCTCAATCTTTATGATTCAGCTGCAATTTTCGTCCCCCCCCTCTCTCTTTCTCGCCAACTCTCTGTATCCTATTCTTTATGTTTCAGCTATAATTTTCATCCAGGCCAAAAAGGCCAAGTATTCAACATCGTATGTTGATGAAAAACAACATCTTAAAGACAACTTTTTGTTTGTTTTCCTGTATCCTTCATTAACGAATATAAATTAATTAATGCACAGACTTTGTTTAATTCTAAGAATGGTTAAAGGTTGTGTAAAAATTAAAGCAAAATGTCAGGATATTGTATATTATACTTTTAATCCATTAAGTTAAATGAAGAAAAGCTGATTTCATGCACTATTAACTTTGAGTAAAGTTTCTGTAAAAAGGTTTTGGTGATTAAATTATATTTCAAAAATCAATTTAAGAAAAAGCTTACGCAACTAAACATTTTTTGAAGTCGGAAATCGTGTGTAGGT